TGGTACATTTTAGGTATACACTACATTTACATTTATCATTGGGGGCTTGTACCTGTACATGATGTATCTTGGTTCTTATTTTTTCCCCATTCCCTATGCTCCCTTCACCCCCTCCACCCTTCCTGTACATGTACATCTTATTTCCGTTCTTCATCCCCTTTCCCTCTCCTCTCTTCTCCCTTCATCTCTTGATCCCTTTCCCTTTGAGAAAGAGCTATCTCTCTACTTCCTACCAGCTGTCTTTCATTTTGCTCTTTATTTGGGTTTCTTTGGGTTTAATTTGGGTTTCTCATGTAAGGGACAGCATGTGAATTTTTTACCTCCACCAGATCTCTCTGGGGGAAATATGTACTGGTGTACAATGGTAGATCTCATTTCAGTTCCACGTTCATTGATGCCACCCACAGTAGTAACTTAACATTGGCTTAGCAGAAGTATTTACACTGCAGAAATTGTTATAAAATGGAGATTGGTTTGTTATTTTTTTGATTGTCTCAACTTAAGAAAATAAATAAAATATTGATTTGTGAAATAAACTTAAAAATATTCTACGTCTGCAACTGTTCCATTGTGAATGGCCTTAAAAATGAGAAAATAGTATTCCAGGATTGAAAACTATTACCTGGTTCAGCAGAGAAGTTACGCATATTATGATGAATGAATGAAATTCCAATATCCACCTTCACTGTCTCATTTTCATCTTATGAGCTAAAGTCCATGAAAATAACTCAGGGCCCTGGGTCATGTTGTCATTTGTGTCAGGACTGCTCTCATCTCTCAATGTTGTGAGCAATTTCTCTACTGAGTTGGATAGTAACCAAATACTTATTCATAGTCTGATTTTATTACACTATTGTTAATGACAGAATTATTAAAACTGATGGTGGATTTTGAAGAAATTGCAAGTCACACTGATGCAGAAGTATAAATTGAAAACTAAGGTAAATATTTTAGTTTAACCCCCACCCCACCCACACTCACACCCAGGGCTTAAGTGTAGCTCAGTGGTATGGTTTTGCCTGGTACAAAGCTCTTGGTTCAATCCCTAACACTGTGAAAGTAGAAAAAAACATTTCATTTTCTAAAATTACCATAAAGAAAAATATTTCCAGAAAATTCCACACTAACCCTCAAGTGCCCTTGTGACTTTTACTAATTTAACATGAAATTATTTTTCAGATTCTTGTCTCTAAAATGCCAAAGTAACAGAGTGATCTTGTAGTGAAGTTGAAAGAGGTTTCAATTTAATGAACATAATTTGTCCAAGGATGAGAAATAGTCTAATAGTACATCATTTACCAGATTTAAAGACAATCAATTTATTGGAAAAATAGGGATCAAGTTGAGATGCAACTCCACTTATCACATGATCATTAACTTACAACTATAGGCTGACTATGGACAAAAGAATTCAATAAAATAACAAAGGTTTCTGTGAGAATCCATTTTCTCTATGGAAGTATAATAAAGAGTATTATATATGTTCATATTATTATGACCGTGTACTACAATTCATTATATTGGTAGAATTTATGACAAGCATACACATGATTTTCTCAGAGAGCTGACTGGTAAACATTTATCAGCATATACATATTTTACATTGACTGTCCTGTAGGATTGAGTTTCTATTTCTTCTATTCTGATTCATCTTTTTTTTTTTTTTTT